GGGAAATGAAAGGAATTATTTAACCGAGATTGTACATGACAGACTTTTAAAATTAAGGACCTGCACTTAAAAAAATAGCAGGAGTAAAAACAGTCTTATCAATGAAGAAGAAATTGGTCTACATTTAAAAAGTAATAGGGAGGGGAGGGAAGGATTTTAATATTAAAAATTATTTTGCGGTGTATTCACGTGATAATTTTTCGTTCAAAGAAACTCTCGCAGGTTTCAAGAACTTTTTACACGCGCTAATGGACATTTATCACGCCGCGTGAGAATAAAACCTTTGTTTCACCACGTGATGCTGAGGCGCTTGAATGCGGGCCCACGCGTGGGAAATCTGATTGTTCCAGTCAACATAGCTGCCGTTTGAATAAATGTCCATTGCAAACTGTCTCGTACAGAAAATCGATGCAGAGGTCTTCTTTCCAATTTATTTTTAAGAATCGTATACTTATTTATGCTAGTTTATTTTGCCTAGTTTATAAGATAAGTATCCATTAGATACTAACCATTACAGTGCGACTACATTAACCCAGCCGCCAGCCAAACATTTATAATCAAGGTCGCAAATCACATTTTGACGCTGAATATAACAGGATGGTGGCGAATTCTGGAGTTGAAACTTTTTCTTGTCCACTCCTGATCAAAAACACATTTATAAATGAAATGTATATGCTATTAAAGGGAAAATGTTAAAAGTTGTGCAAATTCTCTTGTTTAAAATTTAATACTCAATCGTGATTGGCTAATTTGCATGAAAATGTGTCTGGGGATGGCCTTGGTTGGTATACTGGTACTCGCACTGTTTTTAATTCAGTTGACATTCAATTGTATCAAGTATCATAGGGGTATTTAGCTCTCATGGGAAAAGGACTATTTGCAGCAAATAGAAAGTAGTTTTCCCATTCTATTCCTGTGGGAAAAAAGGAATATGCAAGTATCGCGAGCAATATGCTACGCGCACGAAAAGGCTTTACAACCTGCAACTTTCTCAAGACGAGTGTACAAAACATTATCGCGTGTATGTGACTACGCTCAAAAATCGTCACGAAAAGTAATTAAAGAAATTCCTACATCTTTCTTGTGATAGTTAAAAAAATCTTATTTTTATCATTTTATTCCTCATTAATTTGTAAAAGTGTAAACGAACAACGCTAGTGTAAATGATTCCCGTACACAACCTCTTGATTTCTCGCTAGAAATATGAAGAGTGTGGCTACGAGAATGTACAGTACATGAAATAAAAGTAGTATATTTGATACTAGTTGATTATGTTCTTGATGAATTTTTTAAAACAAAGAGTTGTCTCTATGTCTACTATTTTGCCTGTTATCCCTTGTTAGTATGTCCATACGACTATTTTGCCTGTTATCCCTTGTTAGTATGTCCATACGACTATTTTGCCTGTT